ATAATAATAATAATTTAAAAGGCTTCTCGCGACGGCATACTGATACATTTTTATGAAATGATACAAATGCACCGATAGAACGCACTATCAAGGACTTGAAAAGTGAAATTTTATACGATGAATAATAGAAAACAAATTATCGAGGGCGCGATAACGAAATCTTTTATAGTCGAGAAAATTTACGCTTAACATCCAAAAGGAAAATCAGGTTTGAATATATGTTTAATGTTTCACCAAAAGCAGTGATAACTCTCACCTCCAACCCAAAAAGAATAAAAGTCATCGCCAAAATTGCTGCGGTACTTCTGTAATGACTGTTGCGTTGGCGAATCTCCAATATCGTGGTTTCCACACACGCAAATTAGTGGTATGCTCGGATCAAGTTCTTTGAAAACCTTCTTAAAATCCTCGGCCTGTGAATCGTTATATTCTTCCCAAGGAAACGCGTTAACGAGATCACCACAAACCACAAAGAATCTAGGTTTCGGTGACAAGTTGTTTGCGGCCACGATAGCCTTACGTGTTAACACGATCTCTTTCTCCCACTTTTGCTCGGCAAGCGGGACTCCATTCCACGAGTCAATCAAGCCAAACTGTGTGTCTGCTGCATGGACGAAACAGAAAGGGCCTCTCCACTTCCCTTCGGCTTCATAGGTAAATCCAGGGTATTTTTGATTAACGGCCTTCGTAAATGCGCCTTCCGCCATGTTGTGGATCCAACACCTGCTCTTTTCGAATAGGAAGAGACCTGGAACTAGTGAACGTTATAACTTCCTGTAGAAGAAACGTCGTTAATACAGAGGATAAATTACCTTCCTTGTTTGCACCCAAGATGTAGCTGACAGTCGTAAGATCCGTTGATCTTAGCGCTGGTTGCTTGTTGGTGCGTGACCTGTTAGCGTGACAGAAAGTGCAACTGTCGCACGAGATCTGGGTCAAAGCGTATAACGCCTGTTAGTTTTTTTTGAAAGAAATTGCGAATTCCCAAACAGAAAGTAGTTAGTTTCTAGTCGGAGAATTAATCTTATGGTTTAGACATGCTTTTATGTGTAATCCAAATCGAGGATGATTTGAAAATATGACATGGAAAGGTAAGATAGTGTTGAAAGGATGATCTTTGATCGTTTTTCTTTGCAATCATCATGTAGCTCCCCGATTATGTCCTAAGATTTATTGCCCTTAGATACTCTTCCGACAAAGCATTGTAGTGTTTGCAGTTTTTATTATTTTCATTTTCAGCCCCTCTGCAGCTATGTGCATCCATTCTTGCTGGGTAAGTGAAACCACTTGATTAGAAACAAAATTGAAAAAAAAAATTCTAGTTTTAAAATCATATGAAACAAATAAATTTACCTCTGAATAGTGAAATATTTTAAAAGCATTTTTCTTGAGGAAAAGCTGAGCAAAATTTGATGGAAAGTAAATGCGAGTTAGTTTCATGGAAAGTTTTATCACTGTATGGTAACAATACCTGCTTTAATCTTCGTTTACAGTGCTGGTCTCATGACGTGGGAAATTGTTCATAACATCGAAAGTCTCCTTATTAAAGAAGACAACAGAATCAATAAAGGCTTCGATTTTACCACTGATGAAATTGCAGATAGCAGTCATGATTTAGCTGAGTGTTTGCAAGGTAGTTATTGCTGTGGTCGATCTTGACAAACTTTATTTGCCTGGGATGAAGGGTACTTCATTGGTATGCATCAGAGTATCAAAAGAAAGAGGCCTCTTTCTTTTCCTTTGTGTGTGAAAGATTAATTTTTTAAATGAAAATGGAAATGGAAGGTTCAGGTTTTGGTCTTTGGTGGAATACTGCTGTCAGAATAATTTAAATTAATAATGCGTGAAGTAATCACAATTTGAACTTATATTTTTACAGCATGCCAACATATGGTAGATATCCCTTACATTAGACTTACGATTAAAATCTGATTCAATCTGCTGCAGATATTGCATTCATCTTGTCAAGTTCAACGTCTGCCAAGTTTCCAGGCTCCTTGTCCTTGTAATGTTCTCAGAGTTTTACAAACTCAGACAGAGGTGTCCTTTTTGCACAATGTTCAAAAATGTGTAATAAAACAATTGTTGAATGTGGTTTTTGCATGATATCAAGAATTATCAAACCTTGTGCCTCAGCCTTTGCCTTCAGCAGATAAGTCAGACCTCAGTTTTCTTCATGATATCATGTTCAACCTCATTCAATAACTGTCTATTGTACCAGCTTTGGATTGGATGGTAAAGAAAACAGAGGTAATACAAAATAAAGAGAGAGGCTTCACCAAAACATTTTTATTTGCATAATGAAAAAGATGATTAAAAAGACTTCCTAACAACTTTTTGTGGTGCTTTCTTTGTTCCTTGAGAGCCAGACTTGTCCATTTGTAAATTTTATGATTTACTAAAACTAGCCATTTCATTATCTGTTCTATCAGTACCTTGGCTTGATGAAGCTTGGAAATTTACAGATACAGAAGATTGGCAAAAAACATTGTGGTCAATTGTACCAAGCAGCTTGATATTGCAGTTCTCCAAAGGTATCTATGGTCAATAACTCCAAAAACATTAGAACATTGCTTTAAATAAATTTGATTATCAGGGGGTTATCTTAACTGACTGTATGACTGGCAAAGTTGCCAAATGAGGAAATGTCTTTTGACAATTTGTTTGGGTTAAGAAGTATTATAATTAATGTATAGTATAGTAAGGTTGATATTTATTATCTACAGTTGAAATCTAGATTATTTTTTCAAATAAGGAAATGTCTTTAGGCAATTTGTTTGAGTTAAGAAGTATAGTAATTAGGGTATAGTATAGTAAGGTTGTTCAATTTGATATCTACAGTTGAAATCTAGATTATTTTTCACTTGCAGAACTCATTATTAAATGTGCTAAACATAATCATTACATTTTTGAAATGCATCTCATGAAACTGGGTTCATTCAGATGATGAAAACTAAAAGGAGAGCAGAACAAAAGATTCCAACAATTTAACTCTTTACATCCTAACATCAGTAGATATATTTTCCATACTGTTTTCCATTTCCTATGATACTGACAAAGAAAACTTGTTGTCAAGAGCTTCTTGAGTGGGTGGTCATTTCTTGGATTCTCATAAGTTAAACATTACTATTTGATTTAGTGGCAACAATGTATAGAGAAATTAGGTGGTAGTTACTCTTAATGGCTGGAGGGAAAAACAATCAAATCTCAAGTTGTTTGACTGACCAGTGATGTTTGGATGAATATGAATGCGGTTGGTTAGATGTTAAATTCATGCCATTTGTCTTTTCATAGATTCATAAACTTGTGAGTTGCAAGTTTATACTCTACAAGAAAATTATATGATACATAAAGGTTCTTGTTAACGGAGTCATTGGCTCACTGAGAAGATCTATAAAAAAAAAACTTTGTGAGAGTTTTGGCAAAGGGTTGAAACAAACTTTAATTTGCACATTCAAAAACCCCTTCAAATGAAGGGGTTTTTTTAACAATTTTAAAGTTTAAATTTAATATTTTTGTCTTAACAGCTCTATCATCTCCCCTGGCCCTTCGTTTGTCAGTACCTCAGAAGTTCCTTGCTTTTCTTCAGGAGTTTGATGATGATGATGTGAGGATACTTGGAACACAAGTGCTGGCTTCCCTTAAGATTCATGATGGTAAATGGATAATAAGTACAGGGTTAAGAGATATTAGTTTACATAAATATGTTAGAAAACTTTGGGTGTAAATTGTATTGTATTTTTCTCTTTAAAGTATTTATGGGCCAGAGAGTGAATTTTAAATCTATGAAGACTTATCATAATGCTTATTAAGAGAACTTCTCAATATCCCCTTCAGGGTACTTTCCTTTTGATCAAGGATAACTGTATTATACTACTGTCATCTGATTTTATTTAGTGTGTGCTGTTCCAATTAGGGCCCCCTTTCTAATAGACTCCCCCCTCAAATTTGTTTTTGTTAATAAGTGCCCCTTTTCTAATATGCACCTGTATTGGGTAAGCTCTCCCTGTTCTTTTTCAGTGATAGCACTGTAAGAATACATGTACATTGAGATCAACGTGGTTCATCTTCTTTTAGTTGCCTACTATATAGCTTCATTACAAAAACTGTGGTATTTGTCTCCTTCTCTCAACTATTTTGTCCCAGAGAGTGCACAGTTTCTTAAAACGAATGACCTCTTCTTAACCAAGAGAGAATTTCTCCTTACAGTATCAATATGATATTAAGCTAACACTTGATGAGCATGATGAAAAATGTCAAATAGGGCAATATTAGTTGATCCAATGCCAAATTCTTCAAATGACAACGTTATGAACTGTATTGCAGACAGTGAGGAGAATCTTGGGAGTGAAAGGGTTAAAGTAGTCGTTGAGAGCCACTCAGGTGATTTTAAAGAATCAGCAGGAGTGGCACTACTTTCTGTTAGGATTTAGGAGGAAAGCTCAAACTGATATTCAGTGAATGAGCGAGATGGAAACTTTCTTGAAAGTGTAAGGTCACACGAGTAGATCGTAAACGCTGATTTTTGATCCCTAGCTGTTGCACGAGAGAGAACTCTCAACGAAACCTTGAACGAGACAAATTTTAAAGGAAAATTTTAAAATCTGGTTAGCAATGTTGCCGACTTAATAAGAAGTGCTTTTGAAAATATACAGAACCCTTCCCCAAACGAATTTTTCTGTGCGATTTGTTACTCGACATAAAATTTAAACGCAACTATGATGCGTTGAAAAAATCAGCGTCGTTAAATATGAGAATATATCGCAAATGCCTGATGAAAGTATTTGGCCTGTATGTTATTCTATGTTCATTCAAAATTTGAATTCACAAGATAAAAATTGGACCTACTAGATGGTGAATTTATTTGTTTTTAGAAGTGAAAACTCAGGAGCTGAATGAACTTGTGGCATCATGTGATAACAGGATTCTGATTGGTTTAGCCAGGTTACCTGGACTCGATACCAGGCTTCTTGGTGTGCACCGAACAGAATTAAGGGTAAGACATAAATTTAAATGTTCTAAAACTTAACAACATTCTTTTCAAAAGAACTCTGATGATTTAGGGCTACATTACGGCAAGATCCTCCATAAACTAAAAAATGTTTGAGTGAGTAGATGGTAAAGAAAACAGAGGTAATACAAAGTAAAGAGAGAGGCTTCACAAAAACATTCTTATTTGCGTAATGAAAAAGATGATTTAAAAGGCTTCCTAACAAACTTTGAAACATTTTTTTACAAGTATCGGTCACAATCTCACACCTGTCAATTAGAGAGCGCGTAAAAAAAAGCGTATGTACACTTTAGAAAAGAAACAACGGCAATTTTTTTCTTCAAAAACTGTTAATGATCTTACAGGAAGTATTATTCACTAGCGTCGACGATTATTCTATGAATATTTACCTCTGCTCAGTAAATGGCAAGAAAGGTAATTGTAACTGAATTCAAACGTATGTTTGAAGTTGTGACAGTCTGCTCTCTTTTATTAGAATAGGCCTTTAAGGCCGCGTGTCAACCCATTCTATGACACATTTGCTACCACAAATTCATTTCGAAACAAATGTTTTGCTGGCAACCCAAGGGATTTGAGGGAATGAGAAAACGAGAGTAGTAAAATGATATTTATCGGCTTGAGGTCATGACCGACGTTTTTTCTTAAAAATACTGGTCAGCCGCAAAATGAAATATATTTATGAAAAATGGCTACGAAGGTGTGGATATACTCGGCGACTTACGAAAGCGCTAGAGTGCCCGTGGCAGAGATAGGAAAGTCCGGACCACACTAAGAACCAATTAGATTGCAGGATTCATTACCGTACCCTCTGGCAAAATAAAAAACAGTTATATGATCAAGATTATTATTAATTGAAGCAATTTAATTATTTTTGATACGTTCGATAGAACCTCACCTATTTGAACTTTGGCTGTTGTTTTTTTCGTAATGAATTGGTCCAGTGGAGTTTTTTTTGTGGCTCTTGTTTTCCTGTTTTTCCTTTATTGATTCATGCTCCATTTTTGACTCAACTTACAGTTCCATGATTTTTCAATATCATGACTCGATAATTTGATAGGCCAATTGGTAGTTTGAAATGGCATGTAACTATGTTTGTATGTGATATTTTTTCTTTTGTACAGGCTGATGCACCACCTGAGTCAATCGAGAGTGACCTGAAAGCCTTGCTTCTTAAGTTACCTCTTACTGGCCTAGATCCTTGTACGACATGGTTTACCCGGAATGCAATACTGACTGGCAAATCAGCAAGCCAGCATCGTAGAGTAAGCATGAATAATATCCAGAACACAGTCAAACCCTCCTTTACTAATTTCATCGTGTTGACCTCTGTAACACGTACACTTTTCTTAAACGGACTCTTCTATCTGACACGTCTTTGTCTTTATTAGAGAGGTTCGACCGTATTAAAAATTGGTGCAAAGCATTTTGCTTGTGATGAAGTTGTCGTTGATCTCCAACTAGGGCTTCTCTCCACATGTTGTGGATACACATAATGAAACTAATTTAGGGTAAATATCCCCCTGAAGGACAGGAGGTTCTGGGTAATATGCGTGTGTCAGATTGGTCATTTAATGCTAGGATTTTCTCTTCATAGCCAGTATTTTGGAGTTTCAGTGGAGAAAGTCTGTCCTTTGCTCACAGTCTCAGTTCTATGCCAGCAGAACAGGTGGAACTGTACTACCTCAAAGCTCTAAACAGGCACTCAGTGGTATGGCAACTGGGACAGATCTCATTATTACAACATTTTTTTCCTAAATATTTTAGGTACAACAAAGGCATTTTATGAAACGAAAGACATTACGAAACGAAAGATATACTTCTGTGACGGATATTACTAACTTTGTTACTCGACATTAGGAAAACTTTTTTGTGCTAAAATTTACTAGGGATTTGTACGTAAAACCGAGCGTTAGGTTAAAACTGACCAATCTCTACTAACGATAATTATTTGGGTCGTAGACCCAATAGCATCACAGGTAAACAAAACTGTCAAACAGTTTTAAAGTTTTTTTCTTATTGACTGAGTAAGAGGGTCAGAAAAGTATATTTAGCTCGAGGTCATTACGTAGGGCGAGGTCCTCCATACATGACCGAGAGTCAAATGTTTTCCCGTTCGGCCCAACCATACTCAATGACTGTGAATATATGAAAATCACTGATAGACATGAACTGCGGATTAAGAAATGAATATGAAAGCGATCTTTGCAGTAATGAAGACTAGTTAAGCACGAGTAAAGATATGGGCTGAAAAAATTCAGGCCTGTACGGGATTTGAGCCCATGACCACTGCGATACCGGTGCAGCGCCTGAATTTTTTTTTAACAGGCCTTACCGCGAAGATCGATTTCATATTCATTTCTTAAACTGCAGCCGTGCGGCTTTTTACGAACCTGCCCTCGGCCATCGTTTGAGTAATATTTTATTGTTGTCGTTTTAAGTAATAGGCGAATAGGGCAGTACTTTTCAAATTATTAAAAGAATTATTTCACAAACTTTCGGCGTACAAGTACATCTTCACTTGATTTTACTAATGAACCACACTAAGGTTGTCGAAACGTCATTGTCGGCGAAAAATCCTTTTAATTTCTGGAAAACACGCACTCACTAACAAGCTTGCACTTCTGGTATACTAAAGACGACTATACTTGAAAGAATCAGAGAACGCCTTTTATTCTTCTGTCAGGTTCCTAGTCATCGATCCCTAATGGTGGAGAGTGGGGTTTTGGATGTGATATCTCGTGAGATCAAAAATCGATTCCACAGCCTTAGAATCAAACGTGAAATTGGCCTATTACTTGGAAATTTGGCTTTAGAGGAAAGTACCCATGACAGCATGGTGGAACAAGGTAACCACACGAGCTGTAGGTGTGCCAAGAAACTGCCAACCTCAGCAAGGATAGCAGTGTATAATCCGTTTTAGAAGTGAAGCAGTTTTTCTTATTTGTGTTAATACAAGTTCTTTCATCTTTACCTGGTTTTAAGTTGGTCAAATTTTTCAAATTTAAAGTGGCTAAACATAGTGTAGGCGCTGAGCTGAGTTCTTGCGAATGCCTATCTTCTATGTAGAACTGAATGTTTATGTAGCGTGAATTTTTTTCTTCTTTCTCAGGGCTCTTACCACTTTTACGTTCCTGGTTGTATTCCGATGTGAGTATTCCTTTGAGATCATCTCCAGAAAATGATAGATTGACCTCGTAGTAACTTATTCTCGGTTTAATAATATGGTTTTACAGTGTAATCCTTTAAGTCAATCCTGTACCGCAGAGTTGCCTTTTCAATAGCCTCTCTACTAAATTTCTTTGAAGGACTTGGCTTTGTTCAGTCACGCTGTCCGAACACTGGCCAATCTTGACAGAGACTTCTGCAAAGACGAGACTTACGAGGACGGAGTTTACTTGCTTCATCCTCAGGGACGGCACTCGTGAGTACAATACCCAAGTTACCATCTCGTCTTCATGCACATGAAGCTGCAGAGTACATGGGTGCCACTACCTCAAAAATGTCACCAGGAGTTACATTTTGATAGATCTATTCCATTAACACATAGTGCAATTTCTGTCAAGCTGATTTTGAAGTTCTAAATATGATGTAAAAAAACCCTTACAATGATAAATATCTCTAAAGCGGTCTTATTGTCGTGCGAATTAAATACGTAATGAAGGAGTGTGGGCGCTTTTCTAACTGCAGACACAACGACTGGCCTTCGTTCAAGGAAACGATCATTCATTCCTCTTTTCTTAATCTCTTCAAGTAGTTCCAGTATCGATGCCGACGTGGTATTCGTTCATGGCCTCCGCGGTGGTCCTTTCATGACCTGGCGACAACAAGAAGAAAAAGGTGTCAAGAATTCTGGTACGGACTGCTGGCCTAAGGTATGCGAGGAATATGCGCAAATACAGCTCTGAATCGACCATATTCTTTCCCAGTCGGAGTAGGCATTGGAAGGTGTCGCTCTATGTGCAGGGTTCAATATTGGTGTTGGATGCTATCTTGGGAAATTCAAACATTAGCAGTCAATTGGGCCGACAATCATGCCTTAGTCTGAGACTGTTGAAAAACTTTGGCTGTCTACCATAGACAAACTTTTTGGGGGAGGTGGGCGGAGTGGGGTGCTCCTCTCCATTTTTGGTAGAGTTATGCCATCCGTTCTCGCTAATCCTGTTCCCATTCTAGACCATTTTGAATGCCTTCTACTCGTTTCCATATCTGGGCCTTGTTTCTCAAAAGTCCGGTAACTTAACGAGCCTGAGACCATGCATAATTCGGTCACGCGAAGGCCCGCACATTTAGAATTTGGAATACTATTCGGAATTCCAAAGATGCGGGTCTCCGCCCAAAATCCAGTCGATTCTGTTCCAATCCCTGCCTGGTATTTTTATTGTTTGAGTTTCAAAAGTATTGACAGCTGGCACTGGTATAAAACATTTGGATCGCCCTGAATATGAATCGGTCATGTTAATAATTATGAATAATATTAATGGAAAGAGCAGATTTGTTGGTTTTCTAAATAAGGCTTGAAGTATGCATTGAAAGTTTCGCGATTCGCTTCGAAAGTAGGACGAACGACAACTGCAAGAGCTCTGAGGTTATCTGCCCGATGTCCTAAAGTATGCACGAGGTCCAAAGAGAATAAATAAAGAGAATTATAACACCACTGAATTCTTTCGAGTCCGGTGTGCTTTGGGAAAGGACTCTAGAAACACAGTCGTACGGGTTCCCAGTCCTTGGGGTCTAAATTCGTTGTGCATGTAGTCAGTACGGGGTCCATCGGTCCTTGCGATACTAGAAATGTAGCAATCTATTGCACTGAGTTTCATCGTAAGCCCAAGAAACGTCCTTGGCGGGTAAATTATGTTTATTACCTTTCACCGCTATGAATGACTGCAACTGAATAAACGATTTTAGAAGATTTTTCGTTCCAGATTGTTGTTCTCTTGTGGTTTGATGCCTAAAGATTTGACAATAGGTGATATTAATATCAAATAAACGATTTTTCTCCAACATTTTAGTCCTGGTTGGTTGGGGACATTCCCAGCATACGGGTTCTTATGCTTGAATATGATACGTCACTGTCGCATTGGGTGGCCCAATGTCCCCAGAAACCTGAAACGTAAGTATAACATGTGAAATCTTCTTTACAGCTTTTCTGTTATGCGGCTGAGGGTTTCTTTGATAGTTGTGAAAATTAATTTCTCGTTTATTGGAGAATAATTTTTTTCTCAAACAACTCTATTGATCTGCTGGTTGTTGTAGTTTGATTAAAATTTCCATGTATGCACTAGCAGAATCGAAATTCTCACAGATCGGTTGCGCCAAAATTAATAATAGACCCCTGAGGTATATTTATTGATTGTTCCACAATTCGCTCTCTTCCAGTCAGTCCTTGTTGTATCGAAGTGAAGAGATAAGAAGGAAGCTGCGCAAGGCAGGAGTCGGCAAGAGACCAGTTATATGGATTGTTCATTCAATGGGAGGTAAGTTGTTCCGTTTACACAGGAAAACGAGCTAATACACTGAGGAATAGACGGACAAACGTACAAACACAGTAAGGAGTGAATATTGGCCTTGATGGGCGGATTTAACAATACACGATTTACTTACACCAAAGTTTGGTTTTTCCTTGTCCTCTAGGGCTACTTGTGAAGCAACTTTTGTTGGATGCGGAGAAAGACGACGAATTTCGGTGGGGTGGAAATGATTCCACAAAGCCTTTCTTCCTTTAGAATAATGCACGAAGATAAAGTTGCTGTACTTATTTCTTGTTCCTTTATTCATTTATAGGAGCATGTGCGACAACACGAAGGGAATCGTGTTTTACAGCACTCCTCATCTTGGTTCTGCTTTGGCATCATACTCAACCCAGGCCAGCCATCTTCTCCTTCCCTCAGTTGAAGTTAAAGAGCTATGCCAGAGTAAGTGGCAGATTGCTTATTCTGAGTGGTTCAGTCTAGAACGGTATCTTAAATAAAAGCTTAGTAAGGTGGATTTTGAATAATTTTTTATGTTAGGAACCTCTTTTTTCTCCAAATTAGAATCACCGTTTTTGGCCACTCTTCATGAAAATTTTCTCTCCTTGGTCCAGCGACATCCAGTCAAGTTACTAAGCTTTGGAGAGACTATGCCAGTGAAGCTGTCATGGATGTTACAAACAATACTTGTTACTAATGACTCTGCAGGTTGGTAACCGGTCAAGTTTTGAGTTTTGTATCCAACCAGTCAAACCTTCATAACTCGGGTCCTTCGAAACGTGAACCTTCGCTAACCCGTACAAAACCTCTCTCTTCTAGATTTCAGCCATTTTCTATAATTTGGCCCACAGAGCAACTAACTCGAAGTAATTTTCGTTGCCCGTCGGCTCAATTTTTGTATAATTTTACTCGGACCATGTTTGTCAGTTCGTAATGAGGTTAAACAAACTCCACTATAGCTCAGGACATTGACCTCTTTCTGAAACAGCAGCATGCTTTTTTTTTTTGTCTTTGTCTTTTGTTGATGTTTTGCATTTTTCCCTTTTTTCGCTGTTGTGTAAAATTTACGACTTTGAGTCCATTTCACGTTCCTTTAGTTTTGGAAACATTTATTTATCGTGGATCCTGTAAGGTTCGCAATTCTCTATTCTGTCTTAAAATTTGCTCAAAATCTAAAGTATGACTAGAAACGCATTAGTCACAATTTTCGCCTTATTTCCGGCATTTGTCGATAACTTGAATTCCAAAACAATTGGAGCCATTTCAATTTCCCTTGAAGGGTTGGAAGCATAACACAGTGCAGTATGTGTGAAATTTGTGACATTTGTAAATTTGCCTAAAGAGGCCCGACTTCAGTGATCAAACGTCCGGAATAAAGAAAAAAAAATAGACACGGAGCTATTCTATGTGGTGTGGATTAAAGGGCCCACGACCTTAAATTTCACGTGTGCGGTAGTATCAAACCTGTGACATCCATGAGTATATTTGAAACTGTTCGAGCATTTTTCTTGATAAATTATCGAGTTGCTCTTCAGTCATGTTATTTTCTTTTATAGATTTAGGTGTCGGCGAATTTTTACCACTTGATGTGGACCACGTTGATATATGCAAACCCAGCAGCAAGACTGACGAAAGATACACGAAGACCGCCCAATTTATACAGAATCTGATAGCAAAATAACTTATTTTTAGGACTCATTATGCGTATTCCTAACAAAGATCTTTTGTGGTATCGAGTTTAATCATTAGCATGATGTTATTACTTATAACTCTTTACATTCTGTCAATTGCGAGCCAAGAACTTAAGCTAAGGATGTTAAAAGTTTAATTAAGATTAGCATCTCAGTGGCTTCTCATTAATAAGAGAAAAAACCTCATGAAGCTTACATTGGCGTGCTCTACTCTATTATTTTTTTGTTTTCTAGATTTTGTTGTTATCCATTATTAGCTTTTATTCCGTCTCTTTTAATGTACCACTTCCAATGAATACGTTTTCAAAACAGTTGTTTTATTTCCATTTTTACAATGTTTTCCCACATTATATTTACCTTTACAAAGCAAATAAGGGGAGCTAAACACCGATCGTTCTATATGGATAAAAAGAACTGCGTAGGTTAGTACAACAGTAAGGGGTATTGCATCACTTGTTATTTGCTCGTTTCTTTGTGTGTTCTGGACTGTGGAGCTTGTTCAGTTGTTTGGTGCGTGAGCCAATTCTTTAGCTGGAATTTCCCCCTTTTCCGAAAACCAAGGAAACAAGAAAATCGACAGTTGGAAGATCACCAATAGTTTGGAGAGTGCTGTAGAAATGCCTTTTCACAAGAGATTATTGTAATCTCTTGCTTTTCATGAAGTTAAAAATTCCGGCTTCATGTTGTTAAAAACCAGTTTTCACCTCTGTTTGAAGATAATTTTTTTAAAATTAGCGGAGTTGATAATGAAACTTGGCCACCATAAAGAGTTTCTAAGGCTTCGTCAGAGCGAAGGGTTAGCGTCTGACGAAAGGCTAACGCTCGAAGTGTTAGCTTTATAAACTCTTCATGGAGGCTGAATTACCATGTCAATTTAGTTGATAAAACTGAATTCTCTTGTTTTACTCCCCCACCAACGCAGCACCACAGTTTGTTTAGAAACTTACCCTATTTATTCACCCCCTGTGTCCTGTTGAATTTTCTCCAGGTGGTGAACAATAAAAGCACACGTAAAAACAATTATTGTGTCGTAAAAGAAAAAGCATAGTGATCAGTGTTATCATTATTGACAAAGGAATTTAATCAGGCGAGCTTGGTATCATTTCTTATATTGTTGTAAAAAATAAACGAACGCTATTTCATCGTCACTCACACTGCAGGTGATTATACACTAAGCCATATAAAAACGATCACACCTATTTTTTTTGCGACTTCCAAGAGCAGCGCCATGGCTTCGATGTGGTTTTCTGTTTGCCTTCTTCTAAAAGTGGCAGCCGTTTGCACTGCAAACGCAGGTAGGCTCCTTTCGATTCCTTTAGAACTCAGTCCTTCACCTGACCAATATTTGCCATGGAGGGAGTAATAGCCTTCGTGCTCAGTGGCTTAGAGGCCAGAGCCTGACCTGATCTGATAGTTAACCACGAGTCTGGGCATTTAGGAACATGGCATCTTCTCACAAATTCCTTTTTGGCCCCGTCAACAAATCCGATTTTCTAGTAACGATCTCTTATGACTCCATCACAATAAGATGTTTCGTTGATCCTTGATAGTAATACAAAACTATAGAGCAACCGAATTTGTTAGACAGCGAGTCAGGCTTATACTTCTGATCGAAAGAGGTCTTGATACCTGGCTACAATACTTAATTTTAGTAGCACTCTTTTTATTACTTTGGCGTTTGATCCAAGCACCAGGTACCTGCGACTTTGAGAATGGTCTATGTGGATATACTCACGATCAAAACTCTGATTTCGAATGGACTAACAACACAGGAGTCACTACAAGCTTCAACACTGGACCATTAGGCGACCACACAACTGGATCAGGTCAGGCATTACAACAAATATACGTTGAACAGCAAGTGTTGCGTAGGCAACCCTTACTTTTGGCCTCATTTATGCATCGGTCATACAGACCAGCCCCCAGCCCTTATTCGACAACCAACACACGAGTATGAAAATAAAAGGTTGAATGTAACTTTATATGATTTTAAATTTAGGAATTAAAAATAAATTAAATGCATATTTAAAAAAGGTCATGTTTAACATGTAATTTTCAATTTTGATTATTTCTAATTTTGGGTAAGAAACAAAGTTAGTCCTCTTTTATCTTACTCTGATTACGAGTACCCTCATCAAAACTCCATTAATTCAGCTTAATATATCGAAAATTAAATCAATCAACTCGTCATCATTATTATTACTATTACTGTCACTATTATTAATATCCTTATTATTGTAACTATCATTATTATTATTATTATTATTATTATTATCATATAGCTATTATCGTCATTACTTTTATTTTCATTATTATTATTATTATTGTTGTTGTTGTTGTTGTCGTCGCAAAATCATCGTTTACCCAATACGGCCTAGACCGAGCAACTTACTGTCAACTTGGTCATCGACTAATAAAAGCGATACATAGATAAGATCACACAAGCTCACTCGAGCCGCGGCTTTGCATCTAAGATGTTGTTGATAAACCCAGTCCAATGCAATTGTAAAAAAATGTAATCATAACATTTAATTATGCGAGAACAGGTTCTTACATGTACATCGAGACATCCAGCCCACGTCTAAACCGAGAGGCAGCCCATTTGGTTAGTCCTCAAATATCTGCTACGGATGGAAACTGTCTTAGTTTCTACTTTCATATGTTTGGTCTCAATATTCGCGAACTATCAGTATATACCCAGTCCATTAGTGGTTCCAGACATCCTTTGTGGCGCTTAAATGGGGACCATGGAGAGGCGTGGCACAATGCTGCAATACCATTAAGCATACCAAAAGATCTCACCTTTAAGGTAAATTTAGTTCATGATAGGAAAAGAGCTTAAGAAATTACAAGTTAAATTCATTACATGCACAAAAAACTCTTATGACAGATGAAATAGTTAAAAGAACTTTGTAAGTGTGTAGAGTACTTTCATTACAGGATAACCCTTTTGCGTAAAAGTTTCTTTAACAATGCCATCTCTCTTATTCATGACCTATCTATTTGCATAACAGATAGAACACTTAACCATTACCTATCTTAATGGAGGAAAATCTTAGATATGATAGACTTTTTACAATTTTTACGCTGCTGTGACTGAACCTGGAGGTTGCAGTGAAACTAAAATTTCATTGATGTTGTCTCCGTCGTGTTTTGCAGGCGTAAATTTGCTTTGTCTCTGTATCAGCAAGGAATGCAACATTGCGATCCGATTAGTGTCCAAATGAGATTAAGTGTTCGAAAACGAAACGTCTAGAACTTTAACGTCGGAACTCTTGCAATTTAATGTCAGAAATCTCATTTCCGTTAACCTGAATCCATCTCAAAAACCACAATTAAATTCCAAAGTGACATCACAAGACACCGCTCAACACGAAAGCAGCAATAAAACCAGTCTCAATCTCTGGTTAGAGGTCTTCTAAATGGATATCAATTTGCATGTAGGAGCAAATCATTGATGATATCTAACTTTATGTGTAACTACCAACTGAGTTTAATTTACTGTTCAACGCGCAGATTGTGTTTGAAGGCATCGTTGGCACTGGATACATGGGTGACATTGCCATTGATGATATCATGGTCGAACACACGAATAAATGTGACATAAACCCCCCTTCAGCGCAACCGCAGCCTCCTCAACCGACGCCTGTCCCTACCCCACCATGTAAGTTATTGTTATGATACTGACGTAATCAAAAATAGTAGAATGATAACCATGGGACAAGTGATAAAATGAGACTGACAAGCTAAGTTCACTGAACTGTTGGCTGCCTTGAAGGTTACTTGGAGCGGAAGGGGTTACTAACAATGATAGCCTTGGGATGCTAATTCTCCCTGGTTTTAGCACAACAGGTAAATTAGATCCAAACCAATCAATTTACATTACATTGCTATTGGCTGAAATGTCTTAGAATTCTGAAATATTGCAGTCTTGGATATCAATTTTGAGTTCTTCCTGGTTTTTAGCACAACAGGTAAAGTAGATCCATTACATTTTTATTGGTTAAAACCTCTTAGAACTTTGAATTGTTGAAAACGGGACGACGTGCTTTCACAAGAAGAATTTTTCTTATGGTCACTGGAGGAAAGAAATATTTTTAAGTGCATTTTATTTTTTTTTCCAGTTGTACCGTTTTGTGGTGTTAAACCGCATACGCGCATAGTCGGAGGCGCTATAGCCACACCAAACTCCTGGCCATGGCAAGCAATGCTCATGTATCAAAAAGACACCGGCGAATGGAAGCAGTTCTGTGGAGGATCACTGGTGCTGCACGATTGGGTTTTGACTGCTGCCCATTGTGTCAATAGTATCAGAGGAGATGATTATTCAACTCACATGGTCAGGTATGTTGATCACATGCAAAACGAAGCAAATTGCTTCAGGGCTTATAAAAATCTGATCAGCTCTGTTACGTGAAAGAAGCGTTCTTGGGGAGAACCAAGCGACCGCAAAAAATACTTTTCAATCCTGGATTAACAGGGACTTAAGGATATGGTGACTGAGGGCTACCGATGGACGCAAGCCCTCTTATTCTTTCGCACAGGGCTGAGTACAGAATGAGTGAAATACAAAGTTAAAATCATAGAATATCTACCACAGAGAACGAAAAGAGCGCGAAGTAACTACAAAAGAAGCTTGCTCTGGTTTTCTTTTTTCACATTGTGAGAATGTTCAATATACATTCGTTCTATTTTTTTGGTGGGCCCAAAATATATACAGAAAAATAGAATTTGTAATTTGGTTTGAAGGAGAGTACAATGGTTTTGGTCTCGCCTGTTCGGAATGAACACGGAAGATGCACCTGGTTTGGGCGAGGAAAACATCATATATCTTGCTGCGTATGTGGAGGTCAAAATCAGTAACCCTGAGTTATCCATAAACAATGCTTGCATTTCTCATGTTCAAAAGCGCTTCAAGTTGCTCTGAATATGGTGATATCGTTAACGTGATGTAGAAAAGCAACCCCTTAGTCAATGTTCTGACCCAAACCTTTCTCTTGTTCAAACATCAGGTACAACTCCGTACCTTCCCTCAATAAAGTATGAGAAATTCGCCGACTACGCTCTGCTCACATGCATGTCACTCATCTCGGTCGAAGTTTTCGTTCCTCCGTAGTCCATAGTCGCCCTACATTTAACGTCTCTAAATATATGTTCGTTCCATGACCGATGTAGGTTGGGTGCACATTACAAAAATACTTCACTGTTGATCGGTTCGGAACAAGACTTTGGCATCAGAAAGATCTATTTCCATCACGAGTACAACAGCGTAACAAATTACAACTACGATGTCGCTCTTATTCATTTGGATCGTCCTGCAATACTTATGAACGGTGTGGGTCTTGTGTGCCTTCCTGATGACAACATTGAATTTTCACCAGGAGCCGACTGCTGGATAACGGGGTGGGGAACACTTCAACCAGGAGGGGCATCACCCGATGAACTACAAGAGGCAAAAGTTCCGTTGGTTTCGAACAAGGAATGCACTAAAAATGGTTCGTATGAAGCCAGCAAAATCACGCGTGAGATGCTATGTGCAGGATTTCCGGAAGGAGGGATAGATGCTTGTCAGGGCGATTCTGGAGGACCCTTGGTGTGTGAAGATAACGGAAAGTGGTATCTGATGGGAGATACCAGCTGGGGATACAGTTGTGCAAAGCCAAATTATTATGGCGTGTACGCAAGATTGGCATTACTAAAGGACTGGGTGTTCCACATATTAACAAATCCTGATTCAGCGTAAGTCAACATTGTTCAAGGGAAATAAGGTCCCCTAGGAAATACAATAACTCACGTATCATTCTCGCACGAAATGTAAACACGCTGAAAAAATTATTTAGTACTTAAAAATACATCCAGAAGGTACTCAGTAATAAAGATTTCATGACAATTACACAATGCATCCAACCCTTTTTGTTTCTGCTTCTTTTTGTGCCTCATTTTCTATCGAAAACGGATGGGTCGCGTGGTTCTCGAGATATATCTTGTTCAGTTCCTCCTTTATAAACTCTCTTAACTCT